CAGGAAAAATTGGGGGCCTTTCCCCCCCCCCCCCCCTCAGCATTTTGGGGTCACCCACCCAGGTCTCTCCCTCCTCTCCACCCTCCAGAACATTCCAGGTTCCTCCTGGGCCCCCAGGCCAAAGGGGGCGGGGAGGGTGACACTCACCCCTCGGGGGTGCCCCTGTTGCCCAGGGCCTTCATCCCTGGGCGAGGAGGATGGAGGTGAGGAGGGCATCGGAGAGGGCGACCTTCAGCAGCACCACCCTGGCAGCCACCAGCAGGGCTACCGGGGAACGGGCTGGAGGCCCTGCAACAGAAGGGGGGGGGATGCTGGCCATCACCCCGCTCCCCCCCCATGTCCTCTCCAGTTCCAGGTCGGGAGGTGAGGGGAGGGCTTCTGTCACCTTCACGTGTCCCCGAGAGTGGGCTGGCTCTGACCCACCTTCTCCATCCTTCCACGCAGGTGGAGCTTCAAACCCCTCCTCCCTCCTCCAGCCCCACAACGCTGTGGGGACACCACCCCGGGGGTGGGGGGAAAGGGGGGGGCACCGACCGACACGTGGGGTACGTTCCCGGTTCGGGCACTCACCGGCCACCCTGCCAGGACATGGCTCTGCCATCTCCTCGTTGCCTGCGGGATGAGAGAGCAGCTGGGGAGGTGGTGGTGGTGGTGGTGGCAGCAGCTGGGACCCAGGTGTGCAGGGGTGGCCGCAAACCCCTTCCTGCGCCAGCGGTTGGGGGGACAGCACCGTGGGGCCCGTACCGGTGATGGGGATGGGGCTGGAGCTGCGGGCTGGGGAGGTCCGGTTGGTCCCCACGTGGCAGGAGAGATCCCCCTTGGCTGGGGGTTCCTCAGGGAGGAGGGCGACGGTGCAGACGGTGCCACCATCCTCCCGGGAGGCCCCATAGGCGAAGGACTGCAGGGCGCTGCCGTTCCCACCGGAGATCCAGACGGCGTGGCCGGAGCTGGGGGTCAGCTCGCTCACCACACAGACCACCAGCCGCCGCCGCTGCCCGGCCACCATCATGCTCAGCGGCGGGGCCATGGTGGGCAGTGGCCCGATGGCCCTACCAGCTGAGGGGGAGGAACGTAGAGGTTAGGGGCACTTTGTCCCCACCGCGTCCCATCCTTTGCACTGGATGGCGACCAGCCTGGATGGTTACCAACATGGATGGCAACCAACATGGATGCTGACCAGCCTGGATGGCAAATAACCCAAATGGCAACCAATCTGGATAATGACCAAGCAGGATGGCAACTGACCAGGATGGTGACCCACCCAAACGGCGACCAGCCTGGACGGCGACCAACCCGGATGGCAACCAACCTGAATGGTGACCTACCCAAATGGTGACCAGCCCAGATGGCGACCAGCCTGAATAGAGTCACCAATCCAGATGGTGACCAGCCCGGACAGCAACCAACCCGCATGGCAACCAGCCTGGATAGCGACCAACCTGGATGGTGACCAGCCTGGATGGTGATCCATCCAACTGGTGACCAACCCAAATGGTGACCAGCCTGGATGGCAACCAACCCAAATGGCAACCAACCCAGACAGCAACCAACCCGGATAGCGACCAGCCCAGACAATGACCAACCCAGATGGCGACCAACCGGGATGGCGACCAACCTGAATAATGACCAGCCTGGATAGTGACCAACCCAGATGGCGACCAACCGGGATGGCGACCAACCTGAATAATGACCAGCCTGGATAGTGACCAACCCAGATGGTGACCAGCCTGGACAGCAACCAACCCGGATGGCAACCAGCCCGGACAATGACCAACCCAGATGGTGACCAGCCCAGACAGTGACCAACCAGGATGGTGACCAACCTGAATAGTGACTAGCCTGGATAGTTACCAGCCCAGATGGCAACCAATCCAGATTGGTGACCAGCCTGAATAGTGACCAGCCCAGATGGCGACCAACCCAGATGGCAACTAGCCCTCCCACCCCTCCCGAGGTGGGGGGGGGGGTTACTCACGGGGCAGGAGCGGGAGCAGAGCGGTGGCCAGCAGCACCCAGGCCACCTCCATGGCGACCGGCAGAGCTGGGACCCCAACCGATGGGGCTGCGTCGCCTGTCACCGTGAGACGGGGCTGCTCCGCTCCCAGCGGTGACACCGCTTGTCCCCCTGT